GACAGTGCTAAGAACAGGACACATTTAAGGTGAGACATATTTAATAAAAAAATCTGGTTATGCTATGATGAGGGTGAACACCTTCTATGTAGTGAAGCAGCAGAAAAGGAGAGTGGTGGGCAGTTCTACCCAGGAGGCAGGAGTGCATAACCACTGACATTGTTTAGAACTGCCAAGGTCTAGTAAAAATAAGAGCAGACTTATCTATCTTTAAAAACACTTTTGTGTTTTTTTTCTTAAATTATTGTCTTTAATTACCTATCAATTATATCTCCCTCATCATTACTTGCTCCTGAGAAAATAGTTCAACCAACTCCACTATCTTCTCTTGGCATGCCTGTTTCTAGCCCCCAGAGTCAGCTGGTACAGGATACTATAGAATAAATAAAACTAAATTGCTCAAGAAACAGAAAAAACTATGTGCCTGTGGGATCCTGAGAACTGGTAGAAAATGAGCTCAGATGAGTAGGCATGGGAGAGCTGAGGAAGGGCATGTAGGACAGGGATATTAGGATTTTGTCCTAAGTGTATACATCTTAATAGTTTGAGAGAAATTGAACCATACTGGTTGCTAAATGGAAATCATTGTAGTGGTTAAGCATAAAAGAATAGTAACTATTTAAATGGTGCAGAAGAAAGATGGTGGTGGTTTCTTTTAGGATGTGGCTGAAGACATGTTAAGAAGAAAGATTCCAGATATGGTTTGGAATACAGCCAAAGGACTTTCAAGGAATGAATTTAACGTTAAAGGCAATAAAAAGTGGATAATTACAAATGATTCTAGGATTTCGACCTGAGCAACTAGACAGTTGGTAATGATATTTACTGAAGTGATAGGAAAAAATCTTGGGACTATGAAATCTCCCATTTCGGACATGGGGAGTGTATATAGCTATTTAATATTCAATTGGAGATGTCATGTAGCTAATTGGATCTTTGAATCTATCTTTAAAAAAAAGTTTGGGGCTAGAGATATAAATTCAGAATTGGTAATTGACTCCCATATAGTATTTAAAAGCACAAAAATAAATGTGAATCTCTATGCAGCAAAAACTGTGTCCTGGACATTGCAACATTACAGCGTAGAAATAATTAGCTATGATAATTGAGTAAGAGTGGCCAGATCAATTGTGTCAAATGCTGCTGAGGTACCAACTAAGATGAAAATAAGTGAGAAGGGGAAAATGACAGCATGGAGGATTTGGCTGAACTTTATCACTTCAAAGGACTGACTATAGCAGATTGAAGAGAGAATGATGAATAAACAGATTTAATGACTACAAACAATAACTGTATATTTTTCTGGAAAATAGAACAGATAATTGGAGCAGTTGCCACAAAGGAATACAAAGAATTTTGTTTTAAGATGCCTAAAAAAACACACATCTTTGTAAGTTAATTGAAATAATCCAATCTGAAATAAAATTGATAATGTAAATATGGACACTTGGAATACTGCAGCAAAAGTAAGACTTTCACATTAGATTTCAATTTCAATTTCTACTCTCTTCACTTCACCACAGAGAATAATGTATATGTATACATTTATACATGTGCATATCTTTTTTTAACATTAAAAGCCAATTGACTTAAAACCTGTTGAAATAAATACCTCGTGGTTTTTTAATGTTGTAACCTGAACTGTGAACATCATAGTTAAATAACCATTAATACAAATGTTATTTAAGAAAGTTTTTGTAAGACTTTAGAAGCATATATTACCTATAAACTTATGTTTTAAAGCCACTGTTTAAGTTTCTTTAGGGAAGAGTAAAATTACTCCATAATTTTTAAAAACTCTTACAGTTGCTTTGTGAAGATTATCAATTTGATGATAGCCTGATATCATTCATTAATAAGGCAACCAGCAAACCAAGGAAAAGTCAGAACAAAAAACAAAATAAAAAAATAACAAAGACTGAAGATGGACTGTGTTAATGTTTGAGTAATTGATTTTCCCTTATTCATTTGTAGGAGTTAAGAGGTGTCCATCAGCGGATGACTGGATAAAACAGCTATGGTACATTTACACAATAAAATACTACTTGGCTATAAAAAGGAAGAAAATTTTACCCTTTGTGACAGTATCAATGGACCTGGCGAACATTATGCTAACTGAAATAAACCAGTCAGAGAAAGACAAATACCATATGATTTTACATATATGGAATCTAATAAATAAAAGAAACTAACTACAAAATAGAGTCATACAGAACAGGCTGACAATTGTCATAGAGGAGGGGAGTTGCAGAACTGGTTGAAATGGTGAAGGAATTCAGAGGGGAAAAAAAAAAACACCAAAAAAACTCAGAGACACAGACAACTCACTTTGTTTATCACTGTTGTCAATTAAAATCCTCATTCTGTACCAAAATTTACATCTTCATTATACTGTTCTATACCAAATTACCATAATTCACATACTATAATAATATGTTAATTTGTAAATAATAAGAAATATCAGAGATTTTCTCTTGTGACCTTCAGGAATAACCAAACACACATAATGGGCCGAATAATAATAGACATGAAAATGCAGATTGTGAGAAATGGCTGAACTGAAATCTGCCTAAGTCGAGCTGATCAGTTGCTTCATGATATAAGACTGTTACTGTATCTAAATTTATTCTTTGTCTGTAATCAATCTTGTAACATGTTTCCTTTGTTTTTGAATTCTCTGTTTTTATTTTAATTTATTTTTAAACTGGAGAAAATATTCCATGCATTTGCTGAATAGAAACTCATAGCTAGAAATTTATTTATAGGTTATATAATTTAATTTTACCCTGAAAGCATGTATTCTTTCTCTTTCTTCCTCTGTCTCTCTCATCTTAAGCATTTCTAAATGTTAGTCTTTCTTACTTGTGCCTCTGTCAGTTCTTATGTTTTGCCTAACAATATCATAAGCTACTCACAACTGGTCTTCCAAATATTGTTCTCTCACTTACCTCTATAAAAGTTATGTTACAAAAACAAAAGCCCAATTCTTTTCTTGACTCCTTTAATACATCCTTTGCAAAATAAACCCTTACCTCACTAGAAAAATCTAGACTCTAACCCCTTTAAATAATGTTGGCATTTTAACATACAATATTGTGTTTTCTTATAACAATTAAATATTATACAATTATTAATAATTGCATATTATAATATGTAATATAATTACATGTATAATATAATTACACAAATAGAGTATACACCAGCAAATCACTTAAAGGTTGTAAAAGACCTATATATTAAGTACTGTAAGATTTAAAGACAAAACCTTATTTAATGATTCCAGGATCAAGGCAAAAATGTTCCTTGATTATCATAATGACTTTTCTTAAGGGCCTTAACATATTTTGCAACTTTGAAAGTTCTTGTAAAAAGCTGAGAAATCCTAGATTCTATTAAACTCTCTTTTAACCCTGGTTGGACATTACTGTAAATATGAAGCCAGCCACGGAAATAAATACTGAACTCACTCGCCAGCAGTGGAAAAAGCACACATTGGTTTCATATACAGGGTGTGGCAAAAGGAGGTCTACAGTTGTTCAAATGGAAAATAATGCAATAACTGATAAATAAGAACAAAAAAATAAACTCTGTGTTTTGCATACTCACACCTGTAAACCCACTCTTCTCCCGCCCTGTATAAATAGAGAAAAATCTGAGCCCTACAACTAGGTAGAAAGAAGGCTATCGTCCTGAGTCTCACTAACTTCATTTGTCAAATGGTAATAATAATATTCAATTCAGGAAGATATTATAGAAATTAAATGAGATAAACTATATGCTTTGTGTTTTTGTAACTAATAAAATAAATGTGTATGTTCGTTCCTGTACCCCTGCTCTTCTTTCTTTTCCAGCTTTTAATGGGGACCTTCAGAACTGCTGTATTCAGGACATTTGTATGAGCTTCGAATTTAGAGAGCAAACAGGTGAACAACAGAAACTCACAGAAGAACTGTCTCTGTGCATGCTCCTATCTGGCTAGGCAGGTTTGCGGAAAAACTGCATTTTCCACTAGGTCTATGGCCCTTGAAAAACCTCTTTGGAACTGTTTTCCCCTCTGTACAACATAACTAAGATTAATATTACAGCTGTGTTTTTAAGATTAGAAATATTGTATGAAAAATACCTATAATGACATGCAATTCATAAATATTAACCATGGAAGCAATAGCTCCGCCTATACCCAAGAACATTTTATGAAAAGAAAATGTGTTTTACTCTTTCTTCTTGTACGTTTGTGTTTGAAAGTATATATATACAGTTATATTTGTAATACCCCCATTTGAGAGCTGAGGAAAGAAAAATTGACTCTATGCTATGTTTGTGTTTTTTGGAAGTTATATAAGAGTTACCGTAAAAGCCTTTTACTCATTACACAAAAACAAAATAATATTTTATTTTATAAAATAAATAAATATATTTTACCAAGAAAGATACAGCAGCTGAACCAATAAGAATAAAAACTGCATATGTAATGTGTAGTCTTAGTACAAATAAGCCAGAAGATGTTCATGTTGTTCTGATGTAATAGTTGAGATGAGATGGACAGGGAGGAGAATCTCCCATTTTTATGACAAAATATTGGGGGAAGAGGGTATAAAGGAAAGGCATTTCATGAAAAGATGAAGCCCTGGTTACATTCTTGGCCTCCACTGGTGTGTGTCCTACTATTTAATAGAATTTTTGAGCACCAGTTTAACACCTAGCTTCTCACATTTCAACAGACACCAATTTTTACAGCATCTATGGGACTTAGACCTTGACCCATGGCCCATCATTCGTCCACCATCAAATCTACTTTTAAAAAGTATTTGATTAAAACTAAAACCAAAAACGTGAATACATAATGGTAAGGAGAGTCATAAAACTTAGTTTGGCAAATGTGCCTTCAAATGTGTCTTTAAAGTGATTTTTAACAGTTTAATGTTATTATTATTTTTCATGTTACTTTGAACATAAGATTTTTCAGTAAATTGTAGCTATTAAAGCAGCATCACACTTACCTGTGGTGGAAGCAGGGGCAGTCTTATAAAGGCGAGAAGCATACTCAAGTCATTGCATCTTCTCTGCATGTCATACTTCACCCACATCATTAGTGCATGGAAGATGGTTTCTTCATCAGGAACATTTACATCATCACTGGCCAGGAGTTTATGGAGCTCCTCAGCTGGAAGCAGTAAAAACTCTTGATTTCTTATAACTTCCATTATGTTTTCCTGCAGAGAGAAAACAAGAAAACATCTTGGCCTAAATTTGGTTTCGCTTTTATTTAGCTAGCAAAGCATTTCAAAAAGAAATGAGAAAAGTAGTCAATAACCTTTGTTCTCATTATAACATAATCCTTGAGAATTAATCCTTCAGAAACTAGAAGCTGTTAAGATGAAAGCATTGTTATTGTAATTGAAGTGTAAATGTAACCAAGACAGCACAGATCTTGTAATAACAGGGGGATTATAATGTGGAGCTTTGGTATGCAGGCAGAATGTACTAAGTGATTAAATGTTTAAGTTTCAAGTGGACTGCTATGTAAGATTCGGTGAATATGAAAAGAGAAGCATTTCAAATTTTTTAAAGCCTGACAGAACTTATACATGGATCAGAAAGTGGGAATAAAACTAGAAAGAGAAGTAGCACATACAATACATCACTGTATATTCAGAAGGGAATAAAGCAGCACAGATAGTCCATAGAAGTCACAAAATCTCATACATTCCACCCTTTTAGTGTCTTTTGTACTTCCTTCTCATGACAATTTCTCTAGCTTAATTCAGATTCCTGTTAATTTTCTTCCAGATTACTGCAATCACCTTCTAATTACTTTGCTTGACTCTATTCTTATCTTCTCTATTGTACCCTCCACAATAATACTAAAATAATATTTCTAAAATATAAATTATCTCATGACATTCCTCTAAAGTTTTTGTGTGGTTTAGTTTCATTTGTTCTCCTCTTGTCTTTGGTGCCAATCTCTTGGGTGGCCACACTGGTTCCTTATGATCTCACCTCTTCCTAATTCGAAGACATCATTTTCTACCTTATCTGCATTTCAGTAACACAAATTACTGCTGTTTCCCTTTGCTATGCTGTTTGACATATCTTTCCTCACTCAATCTATTACTTAAAATTATCGGCTTTGTTTTCCTAGTTTCTTTTTTTAAGACTTAATTCAAAAGCTACCTCGTATCTAAGGGCTTCTTGAGCCCTCTGCTCACTCCCATTTGTCCTGACCACCCCGTCCACTATACGCATGTGCAGTGCATGGTATTCATATCTCTAAGACAACAGTTAGCCAATCGTAGCCTCATTTTTGGTGCACTTGGGGGACTTAACACAAACATTAAGCTCCTTGAGAAAAAACCCTGCAAAGATGAGCAGTACATAGTTATCGAATAGATGTATTTATCATTTTTGTAGAGGAAAAATAAAATATTGGGAATAGTTTAGAACAGTGCAGTGGTTTTCAAACACTTTGTAAAAACTAGTTGTCAAAAAAAAAACCTGTCTTACATTTAGCAGAGAGGCCTCTGTGGCTGAGATATGGATACAGACAGCGGAGGCCTGACTGGCCTTCTCTTTGTCCTCCCCTCCCCCTCTCCTCCTCCACATGTCTCCTGAGATATCTCCAAGGAAGCTATAACTAAGGCTTCTTGGTTTAAAAGCCACATTAACTGTAAAAATCTCAATAGGGTGCTTATTTTGGAAAAAAAAACAACCAAACAAACCTTGAAATAGAGGGAGTAAATCTCTTCCAAAAATGACATTGTGACTACTGCGAAACAGTAGAAGATTCGGCAAGTGCTCATTAATCTGCAGGTAGGGCAGATTCACACCTGTTTTCTTAAGTGAGACCTGACCCATGTCATGAGTTTATCACTGGAATTGAATCCCAGGCTTGATGGGCCTTCGGTTTTCACAAGACAATGTCAACTTTTAATTTTTTTTTTCAGGTCATCTGTCATATTTATTTACATTTTATTGACATCACAGATTAGCTGATTTCCTGGGAATTGTTTTGTCTCTTGTGTTTCCTCTGTGCCTAATACAGTGTTGTGTAAATTATAGATGCCTGATACCTATTTACCAAGTGAACCAAATAAGTGTTCTGAGACTTCAAGCCACCAAGTTTCTCTAAAGAGCTACAGTAAGGTAAAGATGTTTTTGAAGAATGTTTGATAGATGTTTTTGTCCACCTATTTTCTCAGTTATTTAAAAATCTATGTCTCTATGAAACCACACACAGAATTGTTTGGCTAGACCACTAGTACCAGCACATAGTGAGGGATATAATAAAAACGCAGCTCTGTGAAACTTAGTGGTGTCTATCATAAAGATATTGTTCAAGGCATATTTCATTATATTTTACAGTGTCCCTTTTATGATGGCCCTTGGGAGAAATTTCTTTCAGGTTTTAGTAGTAGGAATAATTGCACTTCTCTTGAGTAAATTGGTTTGCTTTTATCATGGGTGTTGTAAATTATGAATTGATCAGATTTCTTTTTTTATTTGGCCTCTGGAAAACTGAGAGTCCAACTGGGATGTATCTGATAGGAAGGCTATAGCCTTTTATTGTTTGATTTCTTTTTCAGACAGCTCTGATAATGGTTTTGTTTTATATCACTACAGCGGATTTTCTTTTTCTTTTATTCTTATATCTAATTTAAAGAGATTTCTATAATTTTGTACCTTTGTGAGTCACACTAAATCTTCTAAAAACAAGTAATGTTTGTAAAAACTTCTAGGAGTAAACTGTAAATGAGGAGCTACAATCAGATATTGTTGGATCTCACACTTGCCCATATATTATGTTGTTTATCATTTTTATTTTTTTAGTTCCAGAGTTCTCTTTATTTTTTTCCATCAAGTCTTCTTTTAATGAAAACATGTCTAATATTCTTCTTTCTTATTTATTTATTTATTTTTTTACAATCTAGCTCTGGAAATTGTTTCAGTTTCATCACGTTTTATTCAGTAAAGAAGAAAAAATATCAATGCACACTGATTTCCACTGCTGGAGCACCTTCTCTAACTCTATGTTTTCTGAGAACAAATGATGAGAAGCATTGAAACTTGGCTTGTTTACCTTCTGTGGAGAGTGGCTATAGCGTTTGGACAGGTTTAAGCCTCAGAGTAATGAGGCAGCATGAACCTCTCATGGCAAAGCCATGTGCAGGCCCCAGCTTGGAGGGCAAAGCTCTCCCAGCACAATTATAGTCAAAGGCTATGGTTGTAAGCTTGGCCTTATGGTCCGAACCTGTGGTCCCAGGTGGCCGAGTGATGTGGGCTGCGGGAGGTATAGCACGTGCTGCCAAAACAAAGCTTGATAGAGTTCTCAGGTGCATGTAATTAAGTAGCTTCAAAACTCGCAAGAACATTATAAACAATTTGACCACCCCCTTACTTTGTCTTATGGATCTGACTATAAAATAAAGACGCAGCTTGCAGGCTGTGGCACTGTCTCTCCATCGGAGAACAGTGTCCCACCTGACCCCAAATGTATTCTCTTGTCTGTCTTCTTTAATCCTTCACTGTCCCTCCTCAGGTTCACCCCTGGCAGTGCTGGACGTGGTTCATCTTTTATACAATACCTTTATTTTAAATCGATTCAATTATTCATTCCACATAGATTTATAGAACTCTTAATGTGTGACCCTATATAATAAAAGCATAGTATGCAAATTGTTCCCTTGACCTGGAGTTGTCTGAGAGTTCGACCAGGGGGGCAGGGCTGGCCAGGGAAAGGGAGGGAATACCCAGCTGGCAGCCGGCAGCTGCTAGGAGCCCTACCAGTGCAGGAATTTTATGCATTGAGCCTCTAGTCCTGGATAATTATAGTGAGTAGAAAAAAATTAATTAGCATCAAAAATCTTACTACACATGTGATATCTATATAACATGCAGTGCCTAGAAGATGATTGTCATCAATTCTGTAAAGGACAGTTTTTCAAATGGACTTAGAATATTGGGTAGGTGTATAAACTAGAACGTAGGAAATGTAAAGATATGTACTGTTACCAGGGGAACCATATAAACAAGGGAGAATAGCAGATAATATAGTATAAAATGCCATATTGGGTGTGTCAACTTGACTGAGAATGAACACAAAAATAGTGGAAAATAACATTGAAAAGGTAATTTAGACCATATAATAGCATAAATTTATTCTCAACTTTTATAGTCTCTCCACTAAATTGGAATATGTGTATACACACATCTTTTACATATAAATGGAAATATTATCAAGAGAGATTTTGGCACCAAATTTAATTTGCCACTACATAAGGCACAGTAATCTTTATTAATAGCATAAATAAAGACTAAATTCTGCATCTGTTTTTCCACTACATATTATAAAATAATTTTTCTAACTATATAAAACTTAGTTTTGTTTTATCTAAATGGAATTTTCTTATTTTTTTATTTTCTGAATTTGACTTAAACAATGATTAATAATTGTTTTAATAAGTCTGAATTAACTTACACAATTAATAATCTAATATTAATTTCCTCTGTATTAATTCTATTATTGTTGGTAATATATCAACACATAGCAATCATTTTTCTTTTTAAAAATGTTTTTTATTGATTTTAGAGAAAGAGGAATAGAGAGGGAGAGAGAGAGAGGAATCAATGTGAGAGAATCATTGCTTGGCAGCCTTCTGCATGTGCCCTGTTCCCTACTGGGGATCAAGCTTGCAACCTGGGCATGTGTCCTAACCAGGAATCAAACCAGCCACCTTTTGGTGCATGGGACAATGCTCAACCAACTGTGCCACATTGGCTATGGTATAATTCATTTGAAATTCCACTAGAAATTCACTATTCTAGATTATTTTAAAAGTTAGCTAACAATGGTAACATCAGGCCAGCATATGTAAATCCCATTAATTACCATGGTTTAGTTATTGGTTATGTTTAACATATGGATAGTAAACTTTTGTAAAATATTGTATTAATGTTCAAATAACTTTGACCAGAAACTTTAATATTGTTTGCTTCATTAACAGCTACTACCAAAGAAACACACTGTACACTATGATGGTTAACTCAAAGAAACCTCTTTGCCATGAAAGCCTACTGAGCTAAAATCTACTGTCTCACCATCTTGCCCATCGTGACCACTGATCATTGTGAGGAGCCTCACACTCACTGTCCTAAGCATTATGAAGAGAAGGCTGATCTTTCTCAGGCCACCACAGAATCTCTGGTTTTATTTGAA